TTAAAAAATGTTTTATTTATTTCTGAGAGAGAGGGAGAGGTAGCGTGAGTGGGGGGGGGGAGGGGGGGCGGGGTCGGAGAGAGAGGGAGATACAGAATCCGAAGCAGGCTCCAGGCTCTGAGCTAGCTGTCACCACAGAACCCGACGTGGGGCTTGAACCCACGAACTGTGAGATCATGACCTGAGCTGAAATCGGATGCTTAACCTACTGAGCCACCCAGGCGCCCTTAAAAGTTTAAGTAACGTGGTTATAAACCTTGTTAGACTGTTTCTAAAATCTTCCCCACCACACTGCCTAGTTTCATACTACTGAATTTATACTACTACTTCATACTTTGAGTTTCATACCATACAAAGAATTACTCTATATCCTATGAGGTTGAACCAATAGAAAGTGCTTATATTCGACCCTTGTTGAACCTAAAACAGCAATTTCATATGGTTCCTCTTAATATAGTATGGTATACAGTGACCCAGCTCAGTCATGATTGTGGGTTTGAGCATTATGGGAATCCACAGACTGGTTTTGATTTATGGAGCTACCCCCGTCTCAGATTGCATTGCTAATCAGTAACCTTGAATACAATGAGCTATTTGAAAAGCAATGCATAAGTCATTTTGAATCCATCACCCCGGGAGAAAAGATGTCATGGCAGTTCTGGTGTGATGGAGAGACAGACATGGAATCAAAAGCTTGGATTCTGGTTTCAGCTCTGTCACTTACTGCCTGTGACTTTTGGTAATTTGCAGCTGCCCCAAGTCTCAGCTAGCTCTTCTGTGAAATGAGGCTAATCATAACTACCACATTCAGTGTGAGGATTAAATAATCTAATTTAAACAATTTATTCCATGCCTACAATGCCCAGACATTGTGATGAGCTTTTGGTACAAACAGATCAATGCAATCTTTACCCTGTCTTTATCCTGAAAGAGCTCATTGTCTTAAGAGAGGTATGAAAAATAAAGAAATACGATATACTGTGAAAAGTGCTAACATAAAGGAATATACAATATATTACAGGAACAGCAAGGGGGGAAATGCAGTATACATCCACTACAGCAGAATATTGAGAGCAGAAAGCTCATGTGTCACGTTTGTACTCTAATAAACCTTTACTGAGTATTGGCAAATAAGTAAGTGATTCACGGGGCTGAAGAATAAAACTTCACTTTCTTTGCCTCTTCCACTTCCTCACTGCTCTCTCACTACTCAAATCATGTCAGCCTAGCTTGTGCCTTTACTCTTCTCGTAAACCTTTTTCTGCAATAGCTTCTCCTCCTCCTCCTCCTCTTCCTCCTCCTGCTTCACCTCTTCCTCCTCCTTCTTCTTGGCAATTCAACAAAAAGGAAAACATATTCTTGGTGTGATTTTAAACTGGCAAGACTAGTAATCAGACAAAAAAAAAAAAAAGGAAATAAAATGCTTCCAAATTGGTATGGAAGAGGTAAAACTTTCACTATTTGCAGATGACATAATAATACATATAGAAAATCCTAAAGACTCCAACAAAAAACTACTAGAACTGATAAATGAATTCAGTATGGTCACAGGATACAGAATTGATATACAGAAATCTGTTGCATTTCTATACACTAATAATGAAGTAGCAGAAAGGAAAATTAAGAAAACTGTTCCATTTACAATTGCACCAAAAATAATAAAATCCTGGGGAATAAAGTTAACCAGGAAGGTGAGAGACCTCTACTCTGAAAACTGTAAAACACTGATGAAAGAAATTCAGGAAGACACAGAAAAATACAAAGATATTCCATGCTCATGGATCAATACAACAAATATTGTAAAATGTCTGAACTACCCAAAGCAATCTACAGATTCCATACAATCCTTATCAAAATACCAATAGCATTTTTCACAGAACTGGAATAAATCATCCTAACATTTGTACAGAACCAAAAAAGTCCCTGAATAGCCAAAGCAATCTGAAAAAAGAACAAACCTGGAGGTATCACAACCCCAGATTTCAAGATATGCTACAAAGCTGTAGTAATAAAAATGGTATGGTACTGGCACAAAAATAGACATAGATCACTGAAATGGAATAGAATGCTCAGAAATAAACCCACAATTATATGCTTAATTAATCTTTCACAAAGGAGGAAAGAATAGGCAATGGGAATAAGACAGTCGCTTCAACAAATGGCTTCAACAGTTTTAGGAAAACTGGACAGCTACATACCAAAGAATGAAACTGGACCACTTTCTAACACTACACACAAAAATAAACTCTAAATAGATTAAAGACCTAAGTGTGAGACTTGAAACCATAAGAACCCTAGCAGAGAGCAGGCAGTAATTTCTCTGACATTGGCTGCAGCAACACCTTTCTAGATATGTCTCCTAAGGCAAGGGAAACAAAAGGAAAAATAAATTGTTGGGATAACATCAAAATAAAAAGCTACTGCACAGCAAAGTAAACAATCAACAAAACTAAAAACAACATGCAGAATGGGAGAAGATATTTGTAAATGACATATCTTGTAAAGGATTAGCATCCAAAATCTATATAATATATAATCTATATAAATAACTTATACAACCTAACACCAAAAAAAATAAATAATCCAATTGCAAAATGGACAGAAGACATGAACATTTTCCCAAAGAAGACATACAGATGGACAGTAGACACATGAAAAAATGCTCGGCATCAGTCATCATGAGGGAAATGAAAATCAAAACCATGATGAGATATCACCTCACACTGGTCAGATGGCTAAAATCAAAACCACAAGAAACAGTAAGTGTTGGTAAGGATGTGGAGAACAAGGAATCCTTGTCACTGTTTGTAGGAAAACAAACTGGGGCAGCTACAGTGGAAAAGAATATGGAGAGCCCTCAAAAAGTTAAAGATAGAACCACCCTATCCTCCAGTAATACCACTACTGGGTATTTACCCAAACAATATGAAAACAGTGATCTGAAAACATATATGCACCCATATGATTTTTGAAACATTATTTACAATAGTCAAATTATGGAAGCAGCCCAAGTGTCTAATGATAGATAAATGGATTAAGAAAATGTGGTATTTATATTATATATATGAATATTATTTATCCGTAAAAAAGAATGAAATCTTGCCATTTACAACAACATGGATGTATCTAGAGAGTAGAATGCCAAGTGAAATAAATCAGTCAGAGAAAGACAAATACCATTTGATTTCACTCCTATATGGAATTAAAGAAACAAAAGAAATGAACTAAGAAAAAAAAGAGACAAACCAAAAAACAGACACTTAGTTAGAGAACTAACTGATGGTTACCAGAGGGGAGGAAGAAAGAGGGATGGGTGAAATAGATGAAGAGATTAAGAGTACACTTACCACTATGAGCACTGAATAATGTATAGAATTGCTGAATCACTATATTGTACATGAAACTAATATAACAGTGTATGTTAGCTATACCGGAATTAAAATTTTTAAGAAAGGCAAGACTAGGAAATATTTCAAGTGTAGAAAAAATTGAAAGGGAGAAAATATTTACAAACCATACATCTGAAAAGAGGTTTATATCCACAATATACAAGGAACTCCTAAAACTCAAGAGCAAAAAGCCAAATAACCCAATTAAAGAATGGGCAAAGGGACTAATTACACAATTTTCCAAAGAAGATCTAGAAATGACCAACAGGTAATGAAAAGGTGCTCAACATCACTGATTATAAATCAGGGAAACATCAAGGAAATGCAAATTAAAACCACGATGAGATATCTCTTAATACTAATTAGAATGGCTATTATCAAAAAGACAAAAGATAAGTTGCTGGTAAGGGTGTGGACAAAAAGGAACCTTTGTGCATAACTAATGGGAATGTAAACTGGTACAGTCACTATGGAAAATAGCGTGGAGGTTCCTCCAAAAGTTAAAAAGAGAAATTCTTTGTGATCCAGCAATTGCACTTCTGGGTATATATCCAAAGGAAATGAAGTCAGATCTCAAAGAGATATTAGCAGTCCCATTTTTACTGTAGCATTATTCACAATAACCAAGATATAAAAACAGCCTGAATGATTATTGATTATTGAATAGATAAAGACAATGTACTATATGTATACATATATAATACACACACACACACACACACACTGAAATATTATTCAGCCTTAAAGATCAAGGAAATCCTGCCATATGTGACAACATGAATGAGCCAGGAAGACATTATGCTAAATGAAATAAGTCAGACACAGAGAGACAAATAGTGCACGATCTCACTTAAATATAAGATCAATGGCTTCTTAAAACTCCCAAATCAATTAGACCCTTTTCTGCCACCCTATTACCCGATCTTTTAGTTCTGTTTGTTGTTGCCGATTACTTTCTCTCATAAACCCTCACTTTCTTTCACTTTTTTGAAATGACATTTCTGGGTTTTCTTCTTGTCTGCCTTTGGCCGTTTTTTTCTCTTTTTCCTTAGGTGTTCTCTCAAATCAAAAACTGATGATCCTTAGGGAACATCTTACTCTCCTTAGATAGTATTTCCGCTCTTGGTTTCAATAACTGATGAGGATTCCTAAATCTTATTTCCAGTATTTAACTCTCCTTTGACAGTTAGACTTTAAATTTCTGACAATCTATCCGTCATCCTCAAATGAAAATTCCTTCAGCACATAAAATTCAAAATGCTCAGAATGAGAGTTCTCCCCTACTTCATCTCTCTAACATTTCATCTCTCTTGGGATACCCTCATACTCTCAGTTCAGGCCATTATCATTTACCTTGTTACCAGTGGGAGGCATTCTTGACTCTTTCTTCCTCACTTACTGCAAATGATATTACCAATACTTGGTTTTTATCCCGGTTCTTGGGCACATGGACAATCACATTTCCCAGATCCAATGTAATTAGTCTGAGCCCTGTGACTAATCACTTGGCTATAACCAAAAGTGACAGGTGTTACTTCAGGCCAAAGCCAATGTCTGAATGTCTATGTTCTTTTCCCTTTTTATAATGACTCAAGAAGCTTTCTTTTCCAGATGGTGCTGCTATCTGATTATAGAATCTTTATGAACTGGATTCCTGTGTGATTCTGTGGAGGAGGACCCCCACCTCTTATCAACTTATGAGAAGCATGTAGTGTAAACAGGGTTCAAACCTTTGTTATGGTAAGTCATTGAGATTTTGGTGTGCATTTCTGACTATAGGATGACCTAACTCTCTCACTGATACACATACCTCATTTAATAATAAAAGCTTCTTTCAAATTTCCCTTTTTCTTGTCCCTATTATCTTATTTCTATTCATGATTGGTTTCCTGGACTGCTTCCACAGCCTCCTGGCTGGGATCACTAAATACTCACATTTTTATCCTTTCAAATTCATCTTCTACACATGTTCCAGAATGTTTAATTTAAAATACAAATATGACAGTGTCACTCCCAGCTTGAATCTTTTAATGATCCCTCATTACCTATAACAGTAATTTTCAAACTTTGTTCTTTGGAACAGTTAATTGGTGTTCTAGAAAAAAAATTTCTAAAAGATTAATGTCCTCAGGTTCAAGAAGATTGTGCAGTAATGCACACTGTCTTGGAGATTTACAAATGTACATTGGTAGAGTATTCACGTGGTAAAGAAATGAGTATAAGTTTTTTTAAATAACGCTTCTTCCAATTATTGGACGTCTAGCCATTTCTAGAAGAATTCTTTTACATCAGCATATCAGAGTATTGTCTAAGCTCCTTCCCTGGGCCCAAGCCCTTTATGCACCTTTATAGACCTTCTGTCTATTCTTCCAGCTTCTACCATCTTCTACTTCACAGTTTGTGCTTCAGTAACATTAAATGTGCATAGATTTTACAGATGTTGTGCAGGGAGAATTTAGCTTTCGGCAGTGGAATTTACTTCAGCTGGAAAGCCATGACCCCAACCCATATCAGTCACTTATATAATGTATGGTTAATCTTTTAGACCAAGTTCAGACGGTGTTGGCTGCAGGAGGCTGTTGTGAGACCTAACATTAACGTTCAATACTGTGTGCTACCTTGATGTGTGGTGAAATCAGGAGGGCCGTCAATGACCTCAAGTTCCCCTCTCTACTCTGTTCCTGTCCCCTACATATACAGCCCTCCTTATCATGAGGACCAGGCACAGGTTCTACTTATCCCTGAATAATGGGTTTCATTTCCCTGTCAGCCAGTTATTCAAATAAGCCAATCATATTGCCCCCTCCCCCCACATTGGGGACCGGGGGCATCTCTCCTTCTTGATAGTACAAAGTCTGACCCTGATTATTGACTCTGTCCCTGAGTACAACCCTCCTCCCCTGTGTGACTAATAAATGGCTGTTGATGTGTTCTGTCCACTGTCAGGTGTTACATGTGCAGCCATCCCAGAACCCAGGGCAGGAATCCCTCTCTTGCCAACAGGATGAAGGGGAGGTGATTATAACGGAGATTTTTCTAGCTCTCTTGCCTCACGGTTCCCCTGGCTCATTCTGACCCCATAAGTACTTTAGATGTGTCGTTCTTTGAACCTGCCACATTTTATTGTAGTGATGTCTTTATGTGTCAATCTCTGTGTTAGATTATGAACCCCTTGAAGTCAGCCTTACTTACTCAGTGTCTTGCACATTCTTGTCACAATGCTGCTTGTCAATCTGATGGAAATATTAAATAATGTGTCCCATTGAGCACTTTTATAAATCAGAGCCCAAGGCTCCACAAGGTTGATATTTTTCCTATTCTAGAGATGAGGAACTTGAGCCTTGATTGAGTGATTTGCCTTAACACAACATGAAGAGGCAGAGCTGGATCTTGAACCCAGGTATGTCTCTCAAGACTGTCATTTTTATATGGGATGGAGGTACTGCTCTCAGTCATTGAGCCTGTGATGTACCAGATGACTCGGTGATATGAGAGTGAAACTCATGCAGGCGTCACCTTCCTTTTGTCCCCAGATTGGTGGATGGAATCCACACCCGGCGTGAATGAGATATAAGGTACCTCACATGCTGAAGATCACCACAGACAGCTGAGACTACATGTCCCTTCCTGGGTGCACTGAGAGGCAGCAGACACTGTCATTTGAATCAACATTCCCACACCAGTGCAAATAAAAACAATGGAAAGATGAAGAGAGAAAACGGGTGTATGGAGAGAGAAAAAATAAGAGGAAAAAAGCAGATTGAGACGACTGCCAGGGTGTGATTTATTAGCTAGTAGAGAACGTGATGGCTTTCTCTTCACCTCTTCACAGGGAGAAAGGGACAAACCACTTAAAGATTGGGAATACCTGCAAGAAACAGACACTTTGTACCTCATTCCTGCAGTGATTGTTTACTTAGGTGCAGACTTTTTGATATGTCCCTGTCTCTACAGGGAAAAGGAGTTGAGACACTACTATGCAGGGCAGAAGGAGAGAGGGGCAGCAGGGAGCATGTACCTTCCACGATGTGGCAAGATTAAGTTTCCAGGTGCTCAAGTTATAGGATTAGGTCATGAGTGTGTGTATGGGGTTGGGTGGGCGGGATAGGATGGTACTGTGTGGTGATAGCTGTTTACTTTCATATGAGATAAGTGTGTAACCAGGAAACCCCATACGTCCCCAGAACTCATTCAGGTACTCAAAGCAAGTTTTTGAAGCCTGTTGTACAGAGGACATGTGTGGCCAGATTGGATTAGCTAGAGGAGCTTCAACACCTGACAGCCACTTAGCTATTAAGTGAACATTATTTTTCTTCCTTTATGTACATTCCTTCTTCCAATATCTAGTCTCAGAGGCAAGATGACAGAGAAGACCTTATCCCTTCCCTTCCTACTAGAGTTCCCTGAACTGCAGGGTAGAGAGGAGTGGTAGACAGGAGGAAACTGGGATTTTATTTTGTTTTAAGTTTTATTTATTATTTATTTATTTATTTACTTACTTATTTATTAAACATTTTTAATGTTTATTTTTGAGAGAGAAAAGAGAGACAGAGACAGAGCACGAGCAGGGGAGGGGCAGAGAGAGAGGTAGAGATAGAATCTGAAGCAGGCTTCAGGTTCTGAGCTGTCAGAACAGAGCCCGACATGGGGCTCAAACTCATGAACCACATGATCATGATCTGAGTCAGATGCTTAACCGACTGAGCCACCCAGGAGCCCCATTATTTATTAAAATTTTTAATGTTTATTTATTTTGAGAGTGAGAGAGAGAAAGTGGGGGGGGTAGGGAGAGGGGGAGAGAATGCAAAGCAGGCTCCTCACCATCAGCGCAGAGCCTGACACAGGCTTGAACCCATGAGATGTGAGCTCATGACCTGAGCCAAAACCAAGTAATTGACTGAGCCAACCAGTTGCCCCAAGACTGGGATTTTAAACAGGGCTCAAATTTTTGTTTCTTGACTTTCAGGTTTTTGGAGTAAATAACTGAAAGTGGTCTCAAAGATATGGAACTTGCTTGAGATGTTTGTATGGAACATCCCTGTTTGTATTGAACCAGTTCTGACTGTTCAGTTCACGAGTCATCTAAGCAGGTTTGTTACAGTGATAGCCTCGATTTCTTCACACATGCGAATTTAATTCAGGCAGTAGAAGGTGAAGAAAGCTTTGTCTTCCCCTTAGGGGAATGTCTGAGCACTTACTCCTGTCTGGTAGTTGTGATCCACTTACAAGCAGTTGGCTGGTGTCCCCAGGATATCAAACCTCAGAGTTCAGAGGCAACTACTTGCTTCTACTGGAAGGGAGACTCTGGAAAGACCAGCAGTGAGGCACTGTTCTCTGCCTCTAATATTCCAGATCGCTAGCTGCACTGGAAAGCAGAACCCAGCCCTACATCACCTGGTGCACAGAGCACCTTCCCAGAGACCCAGAAGTCACAAATATTGTGAAGGCTTTTTCATCGTGAACTTTAATTTTAACCACTTGAAACTTAACTTGGTCGTTATTCTAATCCTGTTCCCATGATGTATCCTTAAACTAAAGGTGAATTGCCAGGATACAGAAAGATGTACTTACCAAAGTCGAAATAGTCTTTTTTTTTTTTTGCAAGGTTTGAGGACAAAAATCAAATTGTATGTGTATCTTTTTTTTTTTTTTTTTTAATGATATAGAAAACCAGGTTGGGCATTACTTGGGAAATTGAAAAGAAGCATTTCGATGATATGTCTCTATTTAAGCTTGATGTTTTGCTCTCTCTTTTAGTTTGGGCTGTAAAATACAGTAAAAGAAAAAAGGAAAACGCTGTAGGAAGCCACTAAATAACCACTTTTTTTGCATATTCGTGGTCAGTCATGATTATGAACATTTTTCCTACTGTCATTTTAGTAGGAACTTTAGACAGTGCTACTCACTTCACCTGTGAGTGTTACTATATTTTCATAATACCGATCATCACATTGGCTTAGTGGTTTCAGGTTAGGCCAGAGACGGTTCTGAATAGGCATAGTGTATCAGAACCGGATGGGAATTGGAAAATTAACTCTTATTTTGCCAAGTGGAAGGTAAGGCCCAGAGAGATTAAGACTTGGATGAGCTCAGGCTGAGGAATGGTAAGTTTGGAATTAGAAAGAAGAGTTAGATGGGAATATAAAGAGATTTGCCTGTTGGCTTTTTAACGGTTACTGCAAACTACTATTGGTTTAATTGTAGGGAATATAAACGTAACTGAGGAAATCACCTCCTTTGCAGAAATGTATATGTGTGTGTGAGTGGGGGGTGGATGTGTGTGTTCATGTAAATACATTAAAAGAAAAGAGACGTGAAGAGGTAATTATTGCAACTGGGGACCAGACACAACAAGAATAATCTAGCAACTCAATGAATCCCACTGTTCATTTTACTGAAAGGGAACACTACGGCTCAGATGGACTATAATTTGCTCACCATCACACAGCTACTTAGTAGCAGAACAAGGTCAAGAACCTGGTCCCAGGCCTATACTCTTCCCACTAAGCTAACTGCTTGTGTTCATTCTTTGTTAGAACTGAGAACAAATTTCTAACGCTCCCTAAAAGATAATAAAGTTTTATTTCACTCGAAAAGACTAACTTAATGATGTTCATGGTCACAGACTACTGAGACTATTAGCTTTTTAAAGAACTTAGATCAAGGGTCTGAAACAACGGATAGGGAGAAAAGCAGGCCAAAGCATGGATAAAAAGCACAGTGCCAATCACAAGAAACTACTGTGCTAAGAGCTTGAGCTTGGATCCCTGTTAAGATTTCTGAGAGGAACCGGAACTGCTGAGAAAGGTTTCTCAGCATTGCTAATATTCCGTTTTGTGCTGGACAGTTGCTTGTTGTAGAGGGCTATCCTGTGTATGGTGGGTGGGGTGTCTAGCAGCACCCCTGGCCTCTGCCCACTGGATACCTGTAGTACCTCAGGCCTTCATCAGCTATGGCAACCACAGATGTCTTCAGACATTACCAAATATTCCTTGGGGGAAAAAAGGGCCTAAGGTGAAGAACCACTGGCATGGAGTGTGAGGCCTGAGCTCATGGGTGCTGGGAGTGGATAATACTGGTCAGGTACAGGACTGGGAGACTGGAGAAAGGAAGCATGGTAGTTCTTGATCCCCTTCAATTACAGAATATGTATTTATTAACTCACATTTAGGCTGCATATACATACATGCTGGGAATGAGATGCTAATCATGGGACACATTTTTGGGTGTCTACAATCAAAGGCTTCAGGTTTCTGGGTAGTGGTAGTTGTATGACATGGGGCTTGAAGCCTACACTCCCAGAACATGGCTTATCTCCCCCATGCCCGTATGTAATAATGGCTGACATCGTAGGGTGTTAGGGTCCTAGTTCAGAAAAAAACCTCACCTGGTAAGACAGAGATGGCTCAAAGGAAATTGGTTGCCTTCCTCTTCCTTTTGTCCACTTCCTGTGAGCTAGAATGTGGATATGATCAGCCAGCCTTGACCATGTGGACATGGGCAAGTGCCCAGGGGCTGGCATAGCCACAGGATAAGAGGAACCTATGTCTTTGGACGTCCTTTAAGAGCAGAGATACTTACTCATCCTGGACCACTATCTACCTTTGGACAGAGAAGCAAATGTTTTGTTTGAGCCAGTAAATTGCAGGATTGATTTGTTCTTGAAACCTAGTCTGTTTCCTACCTAATAATACACAGCAACATGACTGAGGAGATTAAAGATGAAGACAGGATGGAGACTATAAAGAGTCACCCAATGGGACAGCAAAGGGATTAGTTGGAAAGAAGAGCCCATGAAAAGAGTTCTAAGGAACACACATTTGCCCGATTGAATTTTTCCTGGAATCCTTGACTCTGTTCAGGTAGAGGGTCAGTTATCAATACTTTCCTCTTGGGGATAGTCTAAGTTCTATTTGAGAGCATAAAAGAAGTAAAGTTTCCCTTTTCTGTCAATTTGTCTGCCTTCTTAGACCTGCCTTTGGTAGATAAAGTAAGCTTTGAATTAACCTATACATGTGTTTTCTTCTATTTTCTTTCAATTCCTGGGGTGGTGTGCAAATGTGGTACAAAGGCATGGTAGCTTCCTAAAGGTACTTTCAGTCTAATCGGGGAGACCTGACCTATATTGAGAGATACATGCTATAAAGAAAACATATGAAAATTCACTGGTAATTAATGAGGTCTGTTCAGAATAGTGCTTCAAATGAATTGTGAGTGGCAGGGTAATAATAATGGCAATGCCTCCTAATTAGTTAGCACAGGACATGTGCCAGCAGTGTTTGGATAACCAGAGAGGAAGATAAAAGACATTTCACGTAAGGGAATAATGAAGCTTGGAAGGAAGTCAGAAGGTACACGGTGGGTACGTCCAGGTTTTGCTAAACGAGGACTTTACGCACCACTGGGAATGGAAGACATCACATTGCCTTGATACCTCAAGTGATAGTCTACTTACAATCCTGTAACCTAATGTCACAAAATTTCAGAACACATATTAATAGTCTAAAAAACAGCAGAAATTCAAGCTCAATAGCACATGAACTCAGGTAGAGTGTGAAGCATCAGTCACAGTACTATTTTTGCATGGCTGGGGAAACTGCAACTTTTCATCATGATAGAAACTAAAGTCAAAGAAAAATTATCTTTGCCATATCAAGGAAGAGTCCACCCCTGACTCATGATGTTATTCTTCTGTCCTTGAAGAATACAAGAATAAAATAATTTTGGAAAGTGGGGGTGATGTTGAGATTCTTTCCCCTTTCCACCTTATGCTATTCCCCTAATGCTAGCCTTATCTGTCACTTGGAGCCAGATTGTGGATCTTAAATGGCTGAATTTATCCAATGGAGAGTGAGAAGCAATTGGGGCTTTTCAAATCAGTGGGTAGCATAATGAGAATGTCTTTATAGAGAAGTTAATCTGGTTGCAGTACTTAGAATATACGGGTAGAGAACAAAACTGGAGGAAGAGATGCTAGTTAAGATTTTTTTAAACAATAATTCATGCTGATGTTATTCAAAGGCTGTGAGGAAATATTGTCCTACCTGCAGGAGAGGCAATTCATTTTCTGGCAGAGATTAGTTATGGGAATTCACTTCCATGCACACTGAAGAGATCTGCTTCGTGGGAAAATGGCTCACTGTACAGATAAGTTTGGATGGAAAAGGAAGTCACACACATTCTAGATAACAATGGCTTCCTGCACCCTAGCGGTATGTCAGAACGGGGATCTGTACGCAGCCCATTGCGCAGGATGAGGGTGCTGCATGTTAGGGTGGAGAATGCCAAAGTTAAATTCGCCTATGACATACTTTTACCCACTGTGTCAATCAGGGTCTCAGCAGGAAACAGATGGCACACTCAATGTTGAGGAGTTAATAAAAGGGCTATTCACAACGCTGAGGACATGGCTAGGAGAAACTAACAAGGGATGGCTAAATGTCCCAGAGCTATCTACTTCCAGGGAGCTAGACATCAACCACTCCTAGGACTGAAGGGACAGGGGGAGAAAGCAGGCTATCTGTGCTCACAGTTAGAGGGAATAGCTATGGGAGAAGGCCATCAGGCTGCAGCTATGGCCTTGATAAAGAGATGGAGTCACTCCATGGCAGTGAGGGAACCCCAGGTATGAATACCTTAGTCTCACTCCCCTCTTATTCTCTGAAATCCTGCCCATGTTTCCCACTAGGTTAAATTAACCAGAAGGCTGTGGGTAAGCAGGCCCGTGGAGGCAGTCCATAAATCAACCTCCCAGAACACAGACAGGGTGGACAAGGGTGGAAGGAGATTATAGGTGGGGTGGGTTTTAGGTGGAGCAAAATGATGGCATCTAACATGAATCTTCCTGGTGTTGCTAATTACTGAGACCCAGGGAGGGAAGAAATGATCTCTATCCAAAATACCTCTCCAACGGACTTCCCTTTAAAAAGAAAGTTATTCTGGAAACGGTAGAATTAAATTAGTTCAGACTACGTGGTTATTAACTAATGAATGGAGAGTAGATTAAGCAGTAGGAACATATTGAAAAGACAAGCAAACACATTTGAAAAATGAAACAAACTCTGTATCTTTCGCAATTTTACCTAGAGCT